TGGGATAACCCGAAATCAACCTAAAATATTAAATGGGTTAAGATTTTTAAACCGGATCCAATCAAAAAATTATTCAAATAAACTCAGATCTAAATTTTTTTGAGTTAGACTCAAATGGAGACACCCCTAATTATGTAAATGTTCAGTATTACTTTTATGTTTTAAAATACAGAGATTTAAAGATGAGAATGATTATGATTTCATCCTCGCACATCACTTTCTTTATCGGCCCTCCATCTCCCTTTGCTCATTCAATTAATGGCCTGACAATATTATTATAGACTTAGTGGGTTGCTCACAATTCACTCAATTCCTATCCATTTTCATATCTAACATCTAAATTTCAGTTTTTACATGCATGTCGCTTTATCTAATGCATAAAAAGTTATATTTCCCTTTTAAAAAGTTTAACTCTGTTGAACCCAAATTTATTGAATTACACAAGGAATAGAATGCATGGAAGGAGAGACAACAGTGGGCAGAGAGAGCTGAGTAGATGATCAACTGCATTAAGGCAAGCATGAGCAAGTTATATGGTATGTATGTCAATGACCCCATATACATTAACTATTATAGCCGCAACAGAACATCTATTGGACAATCTATTCGTACCTTTGTAAAACCATCACGCGCGTCATTTAGCAAAAAAATAGAAAAAAAAAAATAAGATAAAAATCACAGTTTTACATCACCATACAATTTCCTACCAATGCCTGACATTAAATGCTTATCGTCTAGATGCATGCCACGTTCGTTCCCTAAAACCACAAGCTCACGTCAGCTTTCAATAATTAGGCTAAATATTGTTATGCAGCAAGCAACCAGAAATTTAATGCTACCAGTCCAATAAAAATACAAATTCTGCAACTTTTCCAAGTCTCCCATTCATATCTTTCAAATTAAAACCAATACTTCGCCCCTGTAACAGTAGATTACGGTGATTTACGGTCAGAATATATTTCGGTGGGTCCCACTTTAAAAAATTTTAAAAAAACTGAAATACATCTTCATTGTAGATCACCGTGATCTACACTCAGAATCGGACACCGCATCTATCTCTGCATGCGGTGCCTGCATGCAATAATTCTTTGCTTTATAAGAGCTTATCTTCTCTAAAGCCTAAAATCGAGAAAAAGCAAAAATAGAAAGGAGAGAAAAAGACAGTCACAGTAGACCATTAGCTTGTATAACCAGCTTTTAGGTTCCTCCTCACATGAAATCCACCTTCTTATAAATACGCAGCCACCCAACATAACTTCCAACTCTATTGTATTAATGTTGGCTTCCTCTTTCTCTCTGCACTCGCCGACGAGAATTGAGAAAAGGAATGAGGCCTGGCTTCGTATTGAAGGAGTCATCCGCTCCATTGGCGACGGGGGAAGCTATTTCACCCGCGGCACACCCGGCCTGGCGCTCGCCGGTGCCGTATCTGTTCGGCGGAATTGCGGCCATGCTGGGCCTCATTACCTTCGCCCTTCTTGTTCTTGTCTGCTCTTATTGGAAGCTTTCAGGTTACGTCGACAGCGCCGAACATATGAGCGAGACGGCTGATTCCGGTGACGGCGGGAGGGATGTGGGTGTAACGCAGGGGAAGCAGGGGACGGCTGTTTTGCGGCTGGCGGCGTTGGAGAGGAAGAGTCCCCCGCCGCCGCGAAGGTGGAGAAGGGCGGCGGTGACTGCTGCGAGGAGATGGTGAAGCCCGACGAAGCGGGGAATGTTTTGGCTGGTGGCGAGAGTCACGATCATGTCTGAACTTGGTCGTTTCCCAGCATTAAGGGCCATACTATTTTTTCTTAATGTGATTTTTATACTGAGGAACGAGATTGATGATGTGTTTTGTGGCATTAGATATTGAATGTGATTTTTCATAATAACGTGTGATGATATTATTAGATTTTCTTTTTCCCAAAAAAACATAATTTTTCATATTAAAATTTAAGAAAAAAAAAAATCTAATTTAAAATAAGACTATGTTTGGGACAGCTGCAGCTTATTGAATAATCTACTGATAAGCTAATTAAAAATAATCTGCTAATAAACTAGGTGCGGTAGTTATTACAAATTTTTATTTTTTTGGAAAAGTCATATCACTGTCAGAAAGCTGCCACCACACCTGGACAGATGCGGTGTGAAAACACTGTTTTCAGCATTTTGAAAACGCATAACCTGCCAAAACGCGGTTTATCCAAACAGGTCAGGTGTGTTTTCAAAACGACACCACCAAATAAGCTGCCCCATTATAATATTGGGCTAATGAATCAAAGCTATAGTTTTTATTTTTATATTTTTTAATTTGGAAAAAGTAGGATCACTCAAAATTTTATTATTAAAAAACAGAACTTGTAAGAAATTGTCCAGAAAAGATAGAATCGAAGCTAATTACAGCTGTAGAAAAGACAAAAACACATTTAAAATTGATCCAAAGCAGCTCAGTCCATAGACAAGCAAGGCATCTTTGATTATGCTCTTCATGTAAAATAGATAAGCTTACAACAAAGCTTGCATTCTCCAATTATATAGGAAGCAAATAGAAGAGCAGGGAATCTTCATCATCAATCAACATACAAAACAGAAAAGGGTACAACAAGGACCTATAAAATTCAGCAACAAAATCTTTATGACCAAAAGCCAAATACAAAGAATTAGTGTGCAGAATATCAGAGAGCTGAACCCAGCAACCAAAACAGAGAGACTCCATCCAGCTTTAAATGAGTATTCAAAGACAACACTAATAAAACCATTTACAGAAACTTCTTTAAATGGTTGAATCTAATGCCGAAAGTAAAAGAAGTCCATCCATGTTAAAAAAGTAGGAAAAACCCAAACGCAGACTTAGCTGTGAGAGCAATATCCATCCCAAAAACCCAAGAAAAAAAAAATGGTTTGGGTCTCGAAGTAAAGCTTGCGTACATCATTGCTCAAAACCAAAACATCACCAGCAAAAAGGAAAAAAACCAAAAAAGGAAGATCTGAAGTAATCTGAGGTATCAGCAAAAAACCAGAAAAGAAGGAAAGCATGAGAGGATCCATAAAAGACTAATAATTGAACCAGAAAAAGAATTAGAGATTTAAAAAGCTTTAATGTGATTAGGAATGTCATTGTTGAACTTCCACTTTCTACTCTTTTTGTTTTATCATCTATTGAATATTTTTAACAATAAGCACATAATGGTATGCAAATTTTAGAAAACTTTGCTATTTCATTCAAATCAAATATGATGGGCAATAACTTGAACAACAAGAAAGAAAGCTTTTTAGAAACTTTATAGCTGATATTATCAGCATAATAAATAACTTGAAATTAATTATTAGCTGTAATAAATAAAACACCATTAGGAATGCATTTCCTTAAGAGGTTATGAAAGAAAATTGATTAAATAAAACAAATGATTGTGAGACTGAAAACTGCTGAGGCAGAGAGCACAATTAAGATTAAGATTAATGCTTCTGCATTAAAAACATTAGATATCTTAAGCCCCCCCATGAATAATTCTCCAAGTATGGAAAGGCAACATGATGGAATAAACTTTATGCCAAACTAGCTTATTCCAATCTTTGATAGGAAAATTATCATGAATGTAATGATTAGTAGCTTTGTTACCCTACAAAAGCAATTAATGTTAAAATCAATAATAGAAATACTATGAATTAAATTGAGTTAATTAATAGGAATTTCATAACTCTGAGTAAAAAACCACACACCCTTAAGTAAAACATCTTTCGACTTTATAAATTTGGGAAAATGAAACCAATTAAAAACATAGTTCCCAAATATCTCAAACAAAAAACGACCCATTTAACCAAGGATTAAAGAAGACAAAAATATTAATTTAATATTTACTTGGAATAAATGACCTCTTCTAATTATAGTAGCAACATAGTATCAGATCTTTCTAAAAGGATGAAACATAATAGATGTTGAGAAATTGGGGCGAAAAAAAAAATAGGAATTGACACAAATCCAGAAGAAAGCATAGAGATTTAACGAGGTTTGGTAAAGATGCCTACGTCCTCGGGAGCAGAGCAGCGGCTTTTCCACTAATCCAGAAAAAGAGTACAGGATACAAAATAAAATAACCTAAGATTACAAACAGACATATTTATAACCTTAGAAAGAGCAGAAAGAAAACATTGTGTACAATATGTAATTACTAAATTACCCTTATACCGCACCCCCAACCCACATAAGAAAACTCCCCTAATTTGGACAGAATCTTCCGCTCCACTCCAGCATCTGTCCCTTATATGGTATATGAGCCATACCTAACAAATCTCCACATTGACGAATATTCAGCCCCTTAGGAGAAATACATCATAGAGTTTCTTACAGACTGAAGTGGGTTGGGCCACCATGCTTCTCTAGCAACTGGAAACATTCAACAAGTCCAAGCAATGCGTTGATGTTGATGGTAACTGGCTTGGTCAACATATCAGCTGTATTTTCATTAGTATGAACCTTCTGCAACAGTATCTCACCAGAAGCAATCAATTCTCTGATCTTTTGATACCTGACATCAATGTGTTTAGTTCTTGCACACCTGGTTTTTAGTCAGATAAATAGCACTATGACTGTCACAATGCAACTATGCACCTGAACTCCCCCTTGCTCAACGCCCAGTTCCTTTACTAGCCCAGCAAGCCATAAGCCTTCTTTTTCAGCTTCAACTACTGTCATGTACTCAGCTTCAGTTGTAGATAATGTCACAATAGACTGAATTGTTGTTTTCCAACATATAAGCCCTCCATTAAGAGTAAACACATACTCAGTTGTAGACCTTCTCCCATTCAAATCACCTGCATAGTCTGAATCAACGTACCCCACAACTGAAGGATCTTCCTACTAACTGCCAAAAATAATTTCATGTCCTACAGTACCCTTCAGATACCAGAAAATGCACTTGACTGCTTCCCAATGTTGCATTCCAAGTTTAGTCATATATTTGCAGACTTGACTAACAGCATAAGCCAAATCAGGACGAGTACATACCATTGCATACATCAAGCAGCCAACTGCACCAACATATGGAACCTTTGTCATGTCTTCAATTTTTGTATCTGTCTTAGGACACTATTCTGAAGAAACCTTAAAATGATATGCCAAAAGAGAGCTTACAGGCTTTGTTTTGCTCATCTCAAACATGTACAGCACATTCTCAACATAGCCTCGTTGAGATAAACATAATCGTCTTGAGCCTCTATCTTAATGAATCTCCGTTCCAAGAATCTTCTTCGTAGGACTCAGTATATCATCAACATACAGTAACAAAAAATTAACAGAACGATCATCAAGGCTCTTCACATAAACATAATAATCATACTCACATCTCTTATAGCCAATCTGAATCATGTAGGAGTCAAATCGCTTGTACCATTATCTTGGAGACTATTTCAATCCATACAACAATTTTTTTAACCTGCAAACCAGATGCTCCTGTCCAAGTTGAGTGAACCCTTCTGACTGGTCCATGTAAATTTGCTCCTCCAAATCACCATGCAAGAAAGAAATTTTAGCATCCATCTGCTCCAAATACAAATCCCAAATAGCTACTAATGCAAGGACTGCCCTGATTGAAGTATGTCTGACCACAAAAGAAAAGATTTCATCATAATCTATCCCCTTCTGCTGTGAAAATCCCTTTGCTACTAGTCGAACCTTGAACTTTTTCCTTTTTTTTTGATACTGCTGGTTTCCTTTTATACACCCACTTGTACCCAATAGTCTTCTTTCCCTCAAGAAGCTGAACTAGCTCCCATGTGCGATTTTCTGCAAAGACTACATCTCCTCAATCATTGCACCAATCCATTTCTCCTTCTCCTGACTATTGATAGCTCCTTGAAAAGTGGCTCGATCATCGTTGTTGATGAGAAGTGCAAAAGAGACCAAGTTTTCATAACTCAATCTGTTAGGAGGCCTTATATTGGTGCATCTCTGTCTGTCTCTGGCTAGATTATAATTCTGCAGATCATCTGAAATGGAACCACTGGGTGTTGGATTTGAACCTTCAACTCTCAGTTGTTTCTGGATGTTGTTCTAAATCCATCTACACTACATCTAAACTAGAACTGTTTTTTAACATCTTGTCTTGATTTTGCTGTAACATGGACTATTCATCAAATACCGCATCTCTGCTGATCACCATCTTCTTCGCGATTGGATCCTAAAACTTGTATCCTTTCACACCTTTCTTGTAGCCCAGAAAGATGCAATTCCTGGATTTTACATCAAGTTTTGATCTTTCATCTTCAGGTATATGTACATAAGCAGGACAACTAAAAATCCGTAAATGATCGAAATTAACTGGATTGCCTCTCCATACCTCTTCTGCGACCTTGCCACCTGGCCGACCATTTTTTGTAAATCAACAATTACAAGAATTTGATGAGCTACTAAAAGATTTAAATTCCAGCAACGATGCCAAAAACTTGACTGAGACTTTATATATATGTTTGATTTAATAAAGATGTATAGATATGATATTCAA